TCCTCTGCTGTTTCTCTTTGGCAGGAGACGGTAACAAAGACTGCTTCTACCCAGGTTACATACTCGTATCTATGTACATGGTACATCAGACACAACTCACAGGCCAGCACACACACACACACACACACACAACTGTAAGCTCCTTGAGGATAGGGATTTTACATTTTCTTTTTTGTCTTTGTATCAAGTGCCTCATACTGCACCTCGCATATAATACTCAATAAACATGTCTTGAATTGAGTTGAATCCAGCGTGTTCTCCCCCTCAGCTCGTAGACTTTTCAAAAGCCTGAAATGAAAAAGATCTTAGAGATCACTAACATTTTTCCTTCTATGGATAATAAGGCTAAGGCCCAGAGAAGCAAGGGGACTTGTTCAATGTCACATAGCAAGTTGGTAGCAAAGTCGGGACCAGAACTTAGGCGGACTACTCAGTGCTCACAGTTCAATAGTGTATAAGCTATGGCTATAGAACAGCTGTATGTATCTCCCTTTCCCTGTGTGGAACTAGCCCACATGATGATCAAACCCATGACTTTCACCTTGTGCCATAACAAACTGGGCTACCTGACCTGGTCTCACCAGGAAATACCTCTCATTTTCTTCCCAACGTCAATAACTAAATTTGTTTGCTTACAGATTTAAACGGGATCCCAACAATCATATTTTGTATCCATTATGTGACCTCCATCCTAAATTGTTAGTATAAAGAACACAGTCCCTGGAGTCAGAGGACCTGGGTTCAAATCCCGTCTCTGATCCTTGTTACCTATATATTCTTTTTTTTTTTTTTGGCTAGGCAGTGGAGGGTTAAGTGACTTAACCAGGGTCACACAGCTAGTAAGTGTTATGTGCCTGAGGCTGCATTTGAACTCAGGTCCTCCTGAATCCAGGGTCGGTGTTCTATCCACTGTGCCACCTAGCTGCCCCCAACCTATATATTCTTAAGAAAGGCATTTAGTCCTCTGGGCCTCAGTTTCCTCATCTACATAATGCTTGTGATGTCTACCTCACATGGTTGTTTTGAAGATCAAATAAGATAAAGGGCTTTAATAAACTTGAAGCATTCTATAAATGTAAGTTATTACTGTAGCATTCCAGGTAATAATAAAAATAGCTAGCTTTTATACTGAACTTTAAGGTTTGTAAAGGAAGCCTTCCCCTACCACTCTTAATTCCAGAGCTTTCTCTTGGTTAATTATTTCCTATTTATCCTGTATTTAGCTTGTCTTGTATCTATTTGTTTACATGTTGTTTCTCGAATTAGATTATAAACTCCTTGAGAGTAAAGGCTGTCTTTTGTCTCTTCTTGTATACCCAGAGCTTAGCATATTGCTTGGCACATAGTAGGCACTTAATAAATTTTTTGATTAATTGATTGATTAATTATCTCACTTGGTAGATTGTGACTTCCTCCAGGGCAAGGATTGTCTTTTGCCTCTTCTTTTATCCCCAGAGCTTAGCATAGTACTTGGCGACATTAAACCCAATAAATGCTTATTAACTGACTATCTTACTCATTGTCACAACAATCCTGTAAGGTAGATCCTATTATTATCCCCATTTTAAAGTTGAGGAAACTGAGGCAGACAGAAGCCAAGTGACTTGTCTAGGGTCACACAGCTAGTAGCTGTCTGAAGCAGGATTTGAACTCAGGCCTTCTTGACTCCCAAGTCTAACATTCTACACACTGCATCACCTAACTGCTCAGATCATAAGGAGCTTTTAGGTAAGGTCATTCCTGCTATTAATCCTCAATATATTACTTGTTATGTGATTTCTGTAGTAATAAAGGGCATATGTGGATACAAGAACCCATCCTATACCATCCCTGGCAAATGGCCATCCAGCCTTTGCTTAAAGAACTCTGCTAAGGAGAATCCATTCTAGATGTATGTGGATGGAGTGCTAGACTTGGAATCAGGAAGATATGGGTTCAGATCCTACCACTACTCCTTCCTAGCTTATGGGCAGTTTTCTAAAGCTCAATTTGTTCAGCTACAAAATGGGTATGATAATGCCTATAGTACCTACTTCACAAGGCTATTGTGAGGTTCTAATGAGATCATGTATGGAAAGTAGTTTGTAAGCTTTAAAGTACTATATAAATATCAGTTGTTTTAGTATTTTTATCATCATCATTATTATTGTTATTGTTAATATTATTGTTATCACCACCACCACTACACTACTACTACTACTACTACTACTACTACTACTACTACTATTACTAATCCTATTACTCCTACTCCTAACTCCTACTCCTACTCTTACTTCCTGATGCAGCACATTTCACTTTGAGATATCTCTGTTAGAAAGTTAGTTTTTTTCTTATGTTTACCTAAAAGCTGCTCTTTTGGCAACTTCTGCTTGTTTTTGATTCTGCCCTTTAGGTCCACATGGATGGAATGTAACCCCATATCCATAACCCCATATTCTTGAGGCGGTTCTTGAATTAGTCGATCAACAAGATTTCCTAAGCACCAACTTTATGCTAGGTGGAGATATGAGGCAACTACCATCTCCATCCCTTCTCCTCCTCTTCCTCACTATCTTTTCTACAGGCTGAATATTCTCCATTCCTCCAACCTATCTTTTTTGTGGAATATCTCAAAGCACTTTACTATCCCAGTCACCTTCTAATTAATGCTCTCCAGCATATGAATAATCTTCTGAAAGTATGGTACCCAGAACTGAACATACTGCTCCACATAGGGTCTGGCCAAGGCAGACAGCAGTGAGAATAGCGCTTCCCTCACTTTGCACAGTAGGTCTCTCCTAAATGCAGCCTGAGATTGCATTAGCTTTTTTGGTTTTTGACTGACACGCCATGCTGTTGACTCACACTCAGCTTACAATGCACTAAAACCCCGATATTTTTTTTCTGTACAACTATCCAGCTTTGCTACACCCATCTTGAAGAGTTTTTGAACCCAAGGTTAAGACTTCCCATTGAGCTCTGATGCATTTCATCTTATTAGATTCAACTCAATGTTCTACCCTCTCATGATTGTTTCATATTCAATACGTTAGCTATCTCTCCCAGTTATATGTCATATGAAAAGTTGATAAATACGTCTTCTATACCTTCATTTAAGTCATTGATAAAAATTTTAAACAGGGTAGGGCAAGGTCAAGTTCCTGGGGTTCTCCATTAAACCACATCTTTTACAGGAAGCCTATCCCAATCCCTCTGGATTCTAATGCCTTCCCTATATTTAATTATTTCCTATTTGTCATGTATATAGCTTTTGTTTATATATTTATTTGCATGTTATCTCCTCCATTATGATCTCCAAAAGGGCTGGGACTATCTTTTGTCTCCATTTATATCCCCAGGACTTAGCACTGTGCCTGACCTAGGATACATGCTTAATAAGTGTTGATTGATTGCTAAAGATCTTCTAAGTTGATATCAAACTGTTACCTACTCACCTAACAACACATAATAGTATAGCCCACATGTATCCTTTTACCCAAGGATTGCAAGATGGATTTTGTTCAGTGCTTTGCTAAAATCTAGGCAAACTGTCACTTAACAGCATTCCCCTGGTTTACCAGTCTAGTAATCCTGGGATCATTTCCCCCCCAACGAGCCAGAGGAAGGAGCTCTCTTCCTGCTGGTTCATTTTCCCCCACCCAATTCACCTTCCAGCAGGAGCAGGTTGGGGATGTGAGGTTGGGGGGATGCAGAAGGAAAGGATTTGGAAAGCACACGGGGAAAGAGAAGGGAGGCTTGTAAAACCAAGGTCAGTGGTGAAACAAGAACCCAGAAGGAAGTCCACATGACATGGTGCCTCAGAGAGGTTAAGTGTGGAGGCAGGACTTTCAAACCCAGATTTTCTGATTCAAAGTCCAGGGCTCTTTCCTCCTGCACCATGCTGTAACTCTTTCTTAAGTGTCTCTATAATCCCTAGTACTATATCAGATGTGTAATGAACAACTAATAAGCAAATGCTGGTCATTGACTAAAGTAAGATAAATTATTGTTGTGTCCACTGCCGTGCCTTGACCACAGAATCATAGGATTTAGAGATGAAAGGACCCAAGACATCATCCAGTCCAATGTATTCATTTTATAATTAAAAAAAAATAGTAAGCATTCATTTTCTTTCCCTCTTCCCTACTACCCCCTGGGTAGAAGGTAGGAAACCCTAATTAAAATATGCATAGTCAAATTAAATTGTGTTGGTCACATTGAAAAGCATGTCTCATTCTGCACATTTATGTCATCCTCTCTCTATTGGGAGATAGGTAGCACGCTTCATCATCGGTCTTCTGAAATCATGGTTGATCATTTTGTTGGTAAGAGTTCTTCAGTATTTCGAAGTTGTTCATTTATTTCAAGATCGGTGTTATTATATAAATTCTTCTCCTAGTTCCACACACTTCATTCCAATATAGTTCATAGAGTCTTTCCAAGTTTTTCTGAAACCATCCCCTTCCTCATTTCTTACAGCACCATAGTATTCCATCACATTCATCTACCAGAACTTGTTTGGTCATTCCTCAATTAATAGGCACTTGGTTTTCAGCTCTTTGTCATCCCAAAAAGGGCTCTGATAAATATTTTTGTATGTATGGGTTCTTTTCCTCTTTCTTTGATCTCTTTTGTATATAGACCTAGTAGTTATATTGCTGGATTAGATTTGAAGACTTCACACTCCAAATCCAACACTCTTTCCACTGTACCACACTGCTTCTCAAAAAGATGTCAACAGTAGCACCAACTACAACTTCTGATCCCCTCCTCCAGTATGCATTTCTTGATGGGACTGAGAGCAGAAAAAATCATGTTGCTTTCTTCATCATGCCAGTGATGGCAGAATCTTAAGGTTAGACAAAACTAGTGGCTCACAGGAGCGGAGATCGATTTCCTCTTATGACCTTGAAAAGGTGACTCCCCAACTCCAAATCCCAAGGGTTTACCAAAGGAAGCCCCTCTTTGGAATGGCCAGACAGGCACTTATACTCAAGATGTCTTTCTCTGCTCTTCTTTAGGTTTTGAAACACCTGCGGCACTTAAACTTCACCAATAATATGGGTGAGCAGGTGGATTTTGATGAGTTTGGGGACCTGGTGGGCAACTATTCAATCATCAACTGGCACCTCTCCCCAGAGGATGGTTCCATCGTCTTTAAGGAGGTTGGGCATTACAACGTTTATGCCAAGAAAGGTGAACGGCTCTTCATCAATGAGGAGAAAATTCTGTGGAGTGGATTCTCCAGGGAGGTATGTACTGAATATAAGAAAGCCATGAGTGGTCTACTGACAATAGCAAATAACACGTGGGCAAGATAGATGATTACTTTGGGGAAATGTTAGCTCAAAAACAAATGCCTAGCACTGTCCAACTAGATAGATTCTTTGCCAGCAAAAATTTAGCTGCAATGGAATCATAACAATCCTTCACAAGAATAAAGCTCACATGGAAAAGGGAGATGAAAGAGAATTCTACTTTTCCAGGAGTCCCACTAGATCATTCTTGAAGTTTGAAGCATTTTACCCAGAGTTATGGAATCTCCCAGAAGTATAAATAATGCTAATAGCTGACATTTTAAAAATACTTTGAAGTTTGCAAAGTGCTTTGCAAATATTATTTTATTTGGTCCTGAAAGCAATCCTCTGTGATAGATATTCTAGATTATTATTAAGAAAACCCTCAATGTAAAAACAGAAGATACCAATAAAAAACTTATTGAAGATAAAAAAAAAGAAAGCCCTCAGCCCAAATATCCCAGCTTATAAAAATAACAGCTATACCTGCCTCTGTTCTCATTATTATCCCTTTTCTTTTATCCTCCCCTTATCCCCATTCCTGACTTAGGCAATTCCAAACCACTGAACAAATTCTGTAATAATATTCTGGGGTGGGGAGAGGGAGGGAGGGAGAAAAGGAAGAGACTCATCCAATCTCAGTATTTTATCTCTCTTTTTGTGTGTCTCTAGATCTTTTCTAGTCATCCTCTGAAGGTAAAGTAGGGTATGGAAGAGAGGAGGGGAGGCACTAAATTTCTTTTTTTCCCAATTGCATTTCTGATGAAATTTTCTAATGATAATAATATTTATAAGTGCACTCCATATTATAATTATGTGAAGTAGACAGCTTCTCCTGTTTTACAGGTAGAGGTAGTTGGTGGTGCAGTGGGTAGAGTGCTGGCCTGAAGTCAGGAAGACTCCTCTTTGTGAATGCAAATCTGGCCTCAGACACTTAGCTAGCCACTTAACCTGGTTTGCCTCAGTCTCCTCACTGGTAAAATAAGGTCGAGAAGAAAATGGCAAACCACTCCAGTGTCTTTACCAAAAAAACCCCAAGTGGGGTCACAAACGTTCTGAAATGACTAACAACGTCAACAAAATTTTATAGGTAAAAAGCCTGAGACAGAGATAGGTCTCCATTCCCTACTACTTTTACCTCTGTCTTTTTTTCTATTAATTGGGTTGGGAGAGTCAGGTAGGGGAGGAATGGATGAGCCTACATTTCTTCCTTTAGCTCTGTTATGACTAAAAAAAAAAGTCATAAAAGTCATAGTCTCTCATTATGACTAATGAGACCTGGGGATGCTATTCTTTCAAGGTAGATAATGGCATCATAAAGAAATCCCGCCCAGCCAGCTGCTTCTGCAGTGTAGTCACAATACTCTGATAACTTCTCTCCGAAACCCACACCACCCCTTCCTCGCCGATTTAGCAAACATTATACCAACATTACTCTGTGTGTTCTCTTTATCTAATCCCAGTTACTGGACTGTAATAGGCCATTCTTATCACAAACTCCTTGTGTTTGCAAGGACAGGGTCCTATTTATCTTTGTATCTTCTCTCTGGCCTTAGCACAGGGTATGAGGACATCAGTAAATATTTATAGAATACACACTTGCTATGTCTTCCCCCCCCCCCCCCCCCCGCCCCGGTTTATTGTATGGCCTCCCAGAGTTCAATTTGCTTTGATCACTGATCTTCCTTCACTTGCCGGGCTCTCTGGGAAGGTTGTGGTTTAGCATATGAAGAGAAATCCCAGAGGCCCAGAATCCACTGCCTTTTTCCTACATTTGAAGGAATTTTTTACATTGGGAAGGCAAAGGCCACAGAACCACAGATAAGATTATCTATTCTTCTCTGGGCCCTAAGGCCTTCTGATAGTAAGGGAGCTATTTAGAGAGGGACATTCACTCTTTTAAGCCTCCAGGGTACCCATTCACTCCATTGTTGCTGATATAACCAACTTTCTATAAAATTCACCTGATCCATTATTGACACTGCAGTTTATCCAGAGCTCTTTTTGCATTTGTTGTCAGTATTACCTATTTCCAGCTGTGCCTACACATAACTAGTCTGGCCATTTGCCTGAATTGATGGGCCATTTTAGTATAAAAATGCTTAAAATCACTTCTCCCAGAGTCATGGCCTCTGCCTACTCTTCTTTTAAATTCATCCAAAAGGAGCTAAAAGGGAAAGAAGTTGGATTTCCTCTCCTCATTTAGTCTCAGTCATCAAAAAGGGTAATTTTATTTCCTATTTATCTGCCTGGCAAGTCAGGATCCAGGCAAACAGGAAGCTTAGAGACACATAGGTCTGTTGAGGCTACAGTGGCATGGCATTTTCCATTCTCAGAATGCAATGGGGAGAAGGAAGGAGTTGAGTAAGGAGGTGAGCACAAGAAACAGAGTTATTTAATAACTCCTCATGAATTCAGCCTCCTGAGCATAATTTTATTACTTTTTCAAAGGTACCATGAATTCTTAGTTTTAGGGGATATAATAAATGAAATGGCTGGTGCCCACGCCTGGAATGTTCTCCATCTGAGGATTTGGTAGAACATCCGCATCCTCAGACCCCAGTGCTTGTATTGGGCCAGCTAGCAAGGTTCTAATCATTCCTATTTGCAAAATATCAAGATAATGTCCTGACTAACCAATATGTCCAGATCCACTGATAACGTTTTCTAGTTAACTGTAGATTACAGACAGGAAGTGGTCTGTGTCCAGCTTTCTCAGCACAAAAAAATGGACCAGAATAGACCAAGAGACACACTTGAAGAGTTAGCAGTTTAGCTCAGTGCCTCCCACCTTTGTGGGTCACAGATTTGGAAACAGAACTGCTAGGAGGAGCCTCTCATTGATGAAATTTGGTGAGGAAAGAGGAAAGACTAAAGAAAGAAGAATTAAAAAAAATTAAAAGGAACAGCAGAGCTATAGATACAAAGGAAGATGCATGTCCAAGTCTAGTTATGTGATTTTACTTGATGTTGTTAAACTCCAGTGTGCTCAGATATATACAACTTATGTTTCCCTTAATTTTTTTTCATTTGCACCTTCATTTATTGATGTTGGTTTCCATCTGAACAATAATAACTCCCATTTAAAGCTGGAGAGATAACATAGCAGAGAGCTGGCCTCAAAATCAGGAAGTTTTGAGTTCAAATCTTGCCTTAGCCACATATGGTCGTGTGAACCTCGGAAGGAAGGAAAGGAGGGAGGAAAGAAGGAAGGGAAGGAAGGAAAGAAACATTGCACTGTGCCAAGCACTTATAAATACTATTTTATTTGATCCTAACAAACCTGGGAGTTAGGTACTATTGCTATCCCCATTTTACAGTTAAGGAAACTGAGACATACAGAAGTTTAGTGACTTATTCAGGGTTCCATATCTAGTCTGAGGCTGGATTTGGACTCAGGTCTTTTTACTCCAAGCTCATCACATTGATCCCTATATCAACTAGCTGACTCTTTGAGTTGTAGAGAAGGTACCACTCCACATTGATAGAGAGAGTTTCCTTACCCTATCTATACCAAAGAAATCACAGGGTCAGTCCATATTTAAAGTTTACAAACCACTTGCCTCACTTTTTACAAATCAGGAAACTGAGGCTCACATCAGCAAATTGGTTTCTGCAGGGTGACAAAATTTAATAAGTATCAGAACAAGGACTTGAACCCAGGTCTTCTGATTCTAAGGCTAGTACTTTTTCTATGACATCTTTTTACCTCTATAGAAGCTCTAGGTTTAAATATTCAACAATATTCTCTATTATTTGTCACCATACTGTTCTGTTAATAACCCATATTGAAACTGAAAGAAATTTTTATATTTACTCTTACCTTTTTCCAGAATAAGAATTTGATATCTTTTTGTACTGCTCATCTGGTAAAGTTTCTCTATTTGTATTATACTAGAAAGGCATTTCCTTTTCCTGGTGTATTGTCATTGTCCGGTCATGTTTGATTCTTCATGACCCCATTTGGGGTTTTGTTGTTAAAGATACTGAACTGGTTTGCCATTTCCTTCTCCAGCTCATTTAACTGATGAGGAAATTGAGGCAATCAGGGTTAAATGACTTGCCCAAGGTTACCTCGCTAGTAAGTGTCTGAGGCCAGATTTGAACTCAAGAAGATGAGTCTCCTTGAATTCAGGCTCTCTATCCACTCTACTCACTATGCCACCTAGCTGCCCTTCCTGACCTATAGTGGAGAATAAACTGGCTAATTTAGAATTCATTTGTTAGCCACATGGCACATTCCAATAATCCCTTCTGGGGAGGGGGTGTGGGGAGGGGGTTGTTTGCAGGCTGTATTGCTTGAGCTCAGGAGTTCTGGGATACAATAGCTAAAATCAATCAAGCTTCTGTAGTAAGTCCCCCAGGGTGATGAGCCTCTGGGAGCAGGGGGCCACCAGGCTGCCTAGGGAGGGGTGAACCAGCTCAGGCCATAAACAGAGCAGGTTCAAGTTTCTGTATTGGTCAGTAATAGGATCAGGCCGGTGAGTGGCTGGTGTACTTCCAACCTGCGTGACCCAGGGAGACCCCGTCTCAAAACAAAAAACAAAGAACAAGCTTATAATTTATTCTTAGATCATGCCCGTCGATATCAGTCATTAGCTTTCTAGGTAAAAATAGATTAGGGCAATCATGTATCTTGATAATAAAAAGCACAGTGTAACCTGAGAACGATTCAAAATAATGGCTCACTTTTCTGCAGCACATTATAGCTTACAAGGTATTTTCCTTACAACAACTGTGTTGGTGGGCAGTACAAGCATCGATATTCAGTTTTTCCATCATGTCTAACTCTTCGTGACCCCATGGACTTGTCTGTGGGGTTTTCTTTCTTGCTAGAGTGATTTGCCATTTCCTTCTCCAATGTGTCCCCATTCTATAGCTGAGGAACTGAGGCAAATAGGGGTTGACTTGCCCAGGGTCACACAGCTAGTAAATATCTGAGGCTAGATTTGACC